GGAAACACTTCCAAGTGAGTTGTGATCATGTTTATTAATTGTGCTCACATGAATTTAGATGAAATATATGAACTTAGATAACAATTCTTACTCAATGATGATTATGCAGTATGAATATCATGAAGAGTAGTTGGACGAAAAACTTGAAAATTTTTTTTTTTGCAGAAAACACAGAATTGGAAATTGAAAAATCTGAAATAAGCAGTGTGTGAACTAATTTTGAAAAATGGAGGAACCATCCATGTTTTAGTTTGGTTTCCTTGAGGACAAGCAAAAATTAAATTTGGTTAGTGATGAATCTATATTTTTACTAATATTTTAGTGTAATTCTAACCCAGAAACAAGGCAAAGGTTGAAGGTTTTCTTTTAATATGTAGTTATTTTAGCATTTGTGAGATTTCTGCTTAGAAATTAAGGATTTAATCTTGTTTTTGTAGGAATAATCTGAGTAATTGAATTCCTAATTGAATAATCTGTAAAGTGGTAATTGAATTGCTAATTCCCTATGGAGACGATACTCTGATCTTAAAATTACTCATTACTTGCTGTAATTCCTAGTGCACTTGCTAGTGTTAGAGATTGGACAACAAGCGACACGCCTTCTCACTAAAGTGAAAATAAGAGGAAACTACACTCTGGTTTCTGTAGAATCTCCCTACAATGAGACTGTCTCGCTACAACGAGATTGCACCTACAGCAAAAACGCGACAGTTTTATCTCTCTCTCCCAGTGCCTTCTCGCTGTAGCAGCGAGAACACCCTACAACATCCACACTTAGCCTATTTTCCTCAGCTCAAATCTAGCCACAAACCAACATATACATATTCTACACATGTATTAACATCATAACAAGGTCACATACACATATCCACATCACCATCAAGTAAATCAATACACCAGCATATGGTAATCCACATATATATATATATATATATATATATATATTAATAATTTAACAATATTACAAAATTCAGGGCGTTACAACTAACCCATTGGCTGTCCGAAATAGGATAAATAATTCCTGCATCCAGCAACTTCATCACTTCTTTTCTCACCACTTCTTTCATAACTAGATTCAATCTTCTTTATGGTTGTACCAGTAGTTTGTAGTTCTCTTGAAACAAAATTCTATGCTTACAAAAAGTTGGATTGAACCCCTTTAAATCTGAAATATGCTAGCCAATTGCTGACTTGTGAGCTCTTAAAATTCTCAGTAACTTTTCTTCCTCCTCTCCTTTGAGATCATTGCTAATAATCACTGGATTTGCATGTTCTTGGTCCAAGAAAGAGTATCTCAAGTGAGAAGGCAATAGTTTCAGCTCAAGTTTCTCAGCCTTATTCTCTTTTGCTCCATCTTTTAAATCTTTTTTTGCTGGATTTTCTGAAAAAGGGACAATTGGCAAGGTATCCAGTTGCTGCACATATTCTCTCAAGTGTTCTTCTTTCTTTTCAGCAGTAGAAAAATTCCATGCAACTATAGTTTCCCTTAACAATGAAAGTTCATCAGCATTATCAATAAAATGAGGGAAAGTAATAGAATCTAGAATATCAACCCTCATGCAAGTATTATCATCATTGGGATATTTGAGTGCCTCAAATACATTAAAAATAACCTTCTCATCCTGCAATATCAACATAAGTTCTCCTTTCTGGACATTAATTAAGGCTCTCTCTATAGCTAAGAAAGGTCTACCCAAAATCAAAGAAATATTGGCATCCACTTCTATATCCAATATCACAAAATCTACAAGGAAAATAAATTTGTCAATTTTAGTAGCAAATCCTCTATAATACCCTAAGGATATGTATAAGATCTGTCCACAAGCTGTAAAGTTATGCTAGTAGGCTTGACTTTCTCTATTCCAAGTCTTTTCATGATAGTAAGAGGCATGAGATTAATGCTGGCCCCAAGATCACATAAAGTTTTTCCCACTGTACAATTTCCAATAGAACATGGGATGCTAAAAGAACCTTGTAACACCTTATGTTTAATTTCAATAAATCATAATTTCAAAAATTTGAAATATAATAAATTTCATTTCGAATAAGGTTCTCAACCCTTGGTTTCATCAAATATTTTAAAATAAGGAAAGGGGTTACAATTTCTATCAAGTCCGGTGCTGATCGTCTTAATTACCTGAAAAATGAATGTAAGGGTGAGTACTCTTCACTACCCAAAACACACAATCAGCATAGAGTCTCACCTCCAACACATTTCCAATACATTTATACAGATATAACACAAACAACATCATTCATTAGAATATCTCAATACATTAAACAAATACAATCACAGGCAGCATCATCATATCCATAAGCACAATTCATGAACCCGTGCCTACGCACGCCAGCCACACTCACATTGACACTGTGATCACAGATTTACACATGAATGGTCGTCGGTTACCCTCGCCTCACGGATACCACGTAGGCAATCACGGGTCACTCAGCAAAGGTAATGGTCAGAGGTCTAGTCAGGAAGAAAGTGTGTGGCCTGTGGTGCACCCGTTCCACAGTCGGTGTCACCACCACTCCCTCTTCCCCAAGATATTTCTATCGTCCTCATCTTCCACACCCCCAGTGTATCGCTGAACCATTCACAACACATTACAACGGCGTTACACGCCCCAATCACACACATTTAAGTTTACAACACATAGCCCACATTTAATAGTACACGACACTAGGCCTATATTTGTTCAACTTTACGGCACTAGGCCTACATTTCATTTTTACAGCACACACAGCACATAGCCCACAATTCATTCAAGACACACGGCCCCTAGCCTACTTCCATTCATATTACACGGCCCTCGGGCCCATATTTTCACAATGTTCATTCAGATATACATACATGTATAAATAGCACAAGTGCCCACATCACATATCTCAGCAACTTCCTACCCTCTACCCAGCCACATCATAATATCTCACAAAATACTAGCAAATCACACGAAAAGGAGTAGGGTAGAGTCCCCCCTCACCTTGGATTGAAGACCCATGCCCGAACTCAACCATGGAAATGTTCCCTACACGGCTTTCGGCCTAAACACATGGAACAATTCCATGAGAACCCCAAAAATTACCAAGAACAGAGAAAAGGAAGGAAAAATAAAAACTCTAACCGTTTAAAACTCACCTCCAAGCGTTCCCCACACAAATTCGAGCTCCAAACTCGCTCCCGAACGGCTTTGGAGGCAATTAATCGGTGGAATAGGGTTTGGGAGTGAGAGAATCGAAGGGAGAGGGAGAAATTACTCTCCCCGAACCCTAACCCCCTTTAAATCCTTTTCTGGTCACGACACTCTCGCTTCAGCGACACGCCCTCTCGCTACAGCAAAAAAACCAGAGAAAACTGCACTCTAGTTTTTGAAGAATCTTGCTACAGTGAGACTGCACCCAGAAATGCACCCCAAACTGTCGCTTTGTTGCTACAGTGAAACGTCTCTCGCTACAATGAGAAGGCGACAATTTTGGTCCTTCGTCCCAGGGCCTTCTCGCTACAGCGAAAATCCTCTCGCTGCAGCGAGAACAACCTAATATCTCGCCCTGTACTTAGGCACTTAGCCTATTTTAGCCCAACTAGTCATACATACACATATCCATGTAATTAATACACATAAAACATCATTTTCAAATAAATCAACACATATATGAATATATATAAGAATAATAATAATTAATATTACCAAAATTCGGGGTGTTACAAACCTGAATCCTTCAATTTTTAAGGGAGTTTCCTTTGCACTATAGCACTGCATTCTTCCGTTAAAGGGACTATTTTGTCATTCTCAAGCTTCCTCTTCTTAGATAGTAGCTCCTTCATAAATTTTGCATAAGAAGGAATTTGCTAAAATGCCTCAGTAAAAGTAATATTTATTTGAAATTTCTTGAAGACATATAGAAACCTCTCAAACTGCTTTTCTTGTTGGGGATTTGGCATTCTTTGAGGATATAGAAGTCTCTTGTATCTTCTTCATCAATAGGCTGATTTGCTTCCTTAAGTATTTGTCTTTTTGTGTTTCTCACAGCCTTTGGAGAAACTTCTTTTTCTGTATTTTCTTTCTTCAACGAAGTGAATTTCCCTTCATCCAAATCAGATTTCAACTTCTCTTTTGCAGTAGAATTATTTGATCTCTTTTTGGCAGGTCTAGGACTCCCCAAAACAGCCCCACTCCTAGTCATAATAGCTTGGCATTGCTCTTTTGGATTGACAACTGTATTGTTGGAAAATCTCCCTTCATCTTTGCTGGACAGTTGCTCAGCCAACTATCCAATTTGAGTTTCAAGCTTTTTCATGGAAGATTCTTGATTCTTGAAGCTTGTTTGGGTCATTTTCATAAATTGCAACATGGTTTCCTCGATTTCACTCAACCTTTCAGTCATAGGCTTAGAAAACTTTTGATTTCTTTGGGATTTAGTGGCTGGATTCCCTTGAAAATAATGTTGTTGTGCTGCTATATCTGCACCAAAAAAAGGCATAGTAAAGTTAGAATTCTTTGCAACAGAAATTTGAGAATTCCAATTATAATCTGCTGATTTCTGCTATTAGGATACTGAAAACTAGGTGGGAATGAAGGTTGTTGTCTTTGAAAATTTCCCATATAATTAATTTGCTCTTGAGGTTCAGTTGTAGGTGCATCACATGCACCATTGGCATGGTTTCCTCCACAAAAATCGCAAGCTGGATATTCTGAATTGGCCCTGCTTGAAGATTCCTTATTTATTGAGTTAGTGCAGCAATTTGCTGCAAAAACATTTGGTTTTGCAGCTGGTTCTGCATAAGGAAAGTCTCAAGAATTTTAGCTTCATATCCTCCACTTTATGTAGAGTGTCTTGCATTAGAATTTTGATACATAGATAAAGCCATCATCTCTATAATCCATTGAGCTTCCTCCAATGATTTTGTATTTAATAATCCTTCTGCAGCTGTGTCAATCATGGTTTGAGTGGCTAGACTCATTCCATTATAGAATGTTTCCAATTGCATCCATTCCGGTATGCAATGGTGTGGGCACTTCCTCAAAAGCTCTTTATGTCTCTCCCAAGCTTCATATAATGATTCCCCTTCTTGCTACACGAATGATGTGATCTCACCTCTTAACTTGGCAACCTTAGATGGTAGAAAATACTTGGTAAGAAATTTGTTAACAAGGTCTGCCCAAGTAGTTATGCTTCCTTGTGGTTGAGCTTGCAACCAACACTTTGCTTTATCCTTTAAGGAAAATGGAAATAATCTCAATCGGACTGCATCCGCGCTGACTCCATTCATCCTAATTGTATCACAAAGCTGCAGAAAATTAGAAATATGTAAGTTAGGGACATCTAAAATTGAACCGAAAAATTGGTCTTATTGTACTAAGTGAAGGATAGCTGGTTTTATTTCAAAATAATTGGCTTGCATTATTGGTCTGACTATGGAAGGTTGTAACCCTGCATGTTAGGTATAGTATAATCTTGTAAAGTTCTCAGCCTATTCTATCCAGCCATTATTTTCTCTTAAGGTGTTGGTGGTGTAGGAGAAGGAATTTGAAGTTCTTCCGATTTAGAAGTAGAAGGTGTAGATTCTAATTCTTGCTCCTTACTTGCTAAATTTCCTGCGCTTAATTCATTTTTCACCCTTCTTAATGTCTGTCTATATCCAGATCAAATACAAGAGCAGTCTTGCTTTTATTTTTCCCACATATAATGATAAACTTTTTGGCAAATGCACCAAATCGTTGAAGTAACAAAAGATTATTGTCAACAGGGATTAATGCTAAGTACCAAACTACAAGAATAACACTAGTTGGGTTACCCAAAAACAATTTATAACAGAATAAAAATTACTTAATTGCAGAATTGTAAAAACAGAAATAAAAGTGTTAGGATTAATATTTATCAATGACCAAAAACTACAAGACTAAAAATGGAGTAATAATTAAAATAATTGCAGGATGTAAATATCTAAATTACTGGAGATGGGTCTAAACACAATAAAAAATAGGTTGAGTTCGGAATCCCTTATCCCTTTCCTTTTGCTTACAAGTATATGCATAACTCAAAATACAACTTTATTTAATGGTCAGATTTTCTAAAATACCTAATCCCAATTCCTTGGTAATTGGTTCTAAAATAAAATTAGTGTCCTAATTCCTTAGATATAACTAAACACATTCATCATTAAGATTTAAAATCCAACAGACCACATCATTATAAACTTCTATTCCTAGACAATTTATAATAAGCATTTTGGTTCCAGTCCAAGAAAGCTCACAACTTTCCAGCAATGAACTCTTTTTCATCAACCCCATTCACGTAGAACAGTGAGGCATTAAGTTTAGAATCAAAATGTTAGAATAAAGTTTGTATCTTGAGCTATATCCAATGTTAGGTCATTGCAAAGGGTAAAAGGTATAAGTTCATCCTCACTCAACTCCAAAATATTTAGCTAGACATGAGGAAAGTAAATAATATAAAACTGAAATATATTGCAGAAATAGAATTCCTGTTTACAAAAACGTTTGCAGCAAATAGAAGAAATGAGAAGTTATTGTTCTATTACATAAACCAGAGAAAATAAGATGAAATCAAAGTTCCCATAAGAATCCTCTAGCAAATATGTAAAGAAAATACCCTAGCTACCATATTCTACATAAGCTGTCTATAAAAACCTAGATTTCTGCGCTCTGGAATGTACTAAAAAGGAAAGAAAGAAAAGATGCCAAGCTTTTCATAATTTTTTGCTTTTATAGGCTCTGTCAGCATCATGTCCCCACAAAGTGTGTCCTGCAGCGCTTAGCTTTCGGTCTTTAGTCCAATTGCCACTTTTTGTCTAATTTCCTTTAAAATTTCAATTGCCAACATCATAATATGAATGATCTATACAAATTTTCCAGTACTTGTAACATTCCATTGAATTTTCAAATTAATTGCATTAACTTATGATTTAAATCCAATGAAATATTCCAAAAATCTTTAATTTCCTAGATGAGTTAGTGACTCACACAGCCCCAAACTTAATTGTTTGCTTGTCCTCAAGCAAATTCATTTTCTTTTTCAATTGAAATAACTAGTTCCCATAAAAATTGACACACTCAATTTATCAATCATCCCTCTTGTAGCAATTAAATTAATGCAAGCCATTCACAAGCAATTTCTTCAACACTCTCAAGTATTTAGGCTTGTGTTTGACTCTCTTTAATGCCTTTTGTTGTCATTCTTTCACACAGATTTGACAAATTTACAATTCACACTATCCATGTAATTAGTTCTAATCAAGAGGGCTTTCTAAAGGTTAAAATGTGGTCAAGGTTTAGGTGGAGAAACAATTTGGTCACTCGCTATTCCTTATATCAGAAAAAACATGAGGGATAACTTAGAAAATCTAAGAAATTGAAAAACTATTTGCACTCCCCCATTGGGTATTTTTTAACTTTCTTAATTGAATGCTGCAGCACTTAAATCTCTATTTTGAATTTCTCTTTTCATTTTGTTTTTGTTTTCTATTTTTTATTTTCTTTTTTTATTTTTTTTATTTTTTTTATTTTCTTTCTTCTTCTTTTTTTGAAGTAAATTGAATGGTACTCAATTTAAATACTTAATAACTATAGCAATTGACCAAAATGGCTCTCTCAACATATATAATTATACACCCATATATAATTTCCCAACCCCAAACTTGAAAGGATTGCTTATCCTCAAGCAATTTCTAATAGAAACTCCAAACTTAGAATTTGCTAAGTTATTCAAATTAGTGCTCATGCTTTCTAAGTTATAACGGGGAACAAGTGTTTGGGCATGTTTGGTGGTAGTGTAGAGGTGAGAGAAAAATTTGGTCAAGCTCAAAAGGGCTAACAAGGGTTGAATGAAAGGTTGGCATTTTAGTTGAAGGTAGCTAAAAACAAAAATAACCTCAATCATTTTAGAACATAAATGCATGGGCAAAGGACAAAGAAAAGTGACAAATCATGCAAAGAATTTCAAAATCCAGTAGGCATACTCTCATCAAGAAAAATTAACTTCAATGCTTACCATGGCAAATTTTTTAGAATTTAAAACAATCATGGTGGTCAGCAATGTTCAGAAATTGTGTGAATTCACAAACAATGTGGTGCACAAGAGAGATGCAAGATTTATAAAGTTAGTTAGGATCACATTTCAGAGAACAGAACAAAATTAGGGAGAGTAAAAAGAGACTCCCCTGTGTATGTGAATCAAGCTGAGGTGTGGGGCTTGCCTCTTGCTTTCTTTGTTAAAATACTTGGACTATTCAAAATAGAAATGACAGCAAACACACACACACACACACACACATATATATATAAACTACATAAAAATGAAGAATTTTGCTGTGCAAATTGCAGGCTGCATAATGAAGGAAGAATTACTAAGCAAAACAAAGTTTTAGAGCTAGAAAAATGAAGCAATAGTTAAGAATGCACAAAACAGAATTTATAGCAATGAAAAATCCAAGTCTGATTGTTCAAAAAAAGAAGTGCAACAAATGTATATCAAAATTGACAAAGGACTATAAAAACATGTACAAATTGCATTTTATAACAAATTTATGCAGTAACAGCACATGTACTTGCACTTATAACACCCAAAAATTAAAAACATTGTGCATTCAAGTGTTGCAAAATTGTGATTGTAGCGACCCAATTCACTACATTGTTGATAACTACTTTATAATATGATAATTTAGAAAACACCAAAATCTGGTCATTATTTTTTTTTCTTTAGACATACAGTTTGTGATAATAGTTCTCTTTCAAGAAGAGAGTTAACATGCATATATTTTCTCATCTCATCAATCCATAACTCACTATCAATAATATACTCATATCAGTCATCACAACTCATCATCAGGAAATACCTCAAATATATTAAATATAATTTGCCGAAACGATAGGTTCATAGTTAAACAGTGCGGTCAACATGATTCAAATACAACATAAGTAAAATAGACACAGACCAAACTCCTTAAGAGCAGTTCCACTACAATATAAATAAAAACAACATCAATCAAGAGGCGAATAATCCTTAATAGGGTCAGACTCCTCAGATGATGTTGGGGAAGCAGAACTAGGAGTTGCAGCCACAAAATTTCCACTATTCTCCTCTATACATCCAGTAGGGTGAGGGGATGAACGGGTGGCAGTAGGTGGAACCAAAGTAGATGGGTATGCAGGATGCATGTAAGAAGGCATAGTGGTATACATAATGAAGGATTCCACTACATGGATGGTGGAGAAGTGGGGGACATAAAAGAGAATGGTGCAGGTGCAGGAGTAGATCTAGCAGTAGGTGTACAAGGGTCAATAGACATGGGTGTGGGAGAAGCAAACAAGGCGGGGTAAGGTAACTGAGTGTCACCAGGAGGTACAGAGAAGACAATCTCAATGGGTGTGTCGGCATTATACTAGGTAATCCATGATCCTCCACTATCAACTCTGTGAATCACTCGAGCAAATCCGCAGAAGATGCTCTGCTGGGCTGCGGAATCAAACACCCATATGTCATCCTCAGAAGGAAGGATGAACACCTTCACCTTGTTCCTATTCATCTATATAAATAAAAGAAAAGCAATACGAACAATACAAACACATGGGTGAGTTCTCCAAACAGAAACATCAATCACAGCCATACCCCAAGGAAGGCGGCATCACAGTCACAAATCCATTCAACCATTCACACTCAGCATCATACAAGGTTCAAGCATATAATAGGGAGATAAATGAAATCACAATCATAGTCAATTTCACAAGTATTCCAACATCCCTAATAATAATGCATATGATGCATGAATGCAGGTTTCCATCTCACCCATATAGTCACTCATGTGTTAATAGCATGCAAATGATGCATGGGGATCCCATTTCTCTATGACTGGCGACTTGCCCAACATTTGCAATAGAGATAGATAGAAAGATTCAAGTCATGTGGCGATCGGAGGACTCCATTCCCTACTCTGCATAGGTATAATAGATAGAAAATATAATAATAGCATATTATTGATGTGTAGTGCCATTTGGCACGTTCAGGAATGGACCTCTATGACCTTAGTATTATGGAGTTCACGTCAGGTTTGGCTAAGGTCTTGCAAGCGGGTCACGACCCAGCTAC